AAAAGGCAAGAGAGAAAGGGAAGAAAAGGGTGCAAGATGAATAGATAAGATAAAAAAGGGCGATACGAGGAGGTGGCGATACGCTGAGGACACTCGGTTTCGTACAAAGTTGCGTCTACGCGTGCAATTTGCGCCTCTCTCGCAATGACGAGTAAAACCGGCGTTTCGTAATCCCCTTAGAAAGAGAGACGCTTCGCGAAACATCGATTATCAACGTCTTAACGACTCGTTATATTCCCGACGTTTGCTTTGCTTTTACACGATGAAACTTTGACCGTTAAGCAAACATTATACCCTCCTCTATTGGATATTCGTTCGGCAATGTGGTCCGTGTCAACGACCTCGCATAATCACCAACGTATTCTCGATATCTCGTCTACGATGGAAACGAAGGAATCGACTTATTTTACTAGACTTTACCGGCCAACCTATTTTCTTCTACAACGTCAACACCGTACACTCGCTCTCTCCCTCTATCGCTACTGCTAGTCTATTCCCCGTTCCTATTTCCGTTCTCTTTTCCTTCCTTTTCCAACGTTTCGTCTTTCGGTCCACCCCCCTTCCCGTGCTTTGATTTACGACCATAAGTTGTAATATTTGCGCCACTATTGTATGGTAATACGCACGGCAAAAAATATGTTAATGGTTGCTATAAAGAAGATATACAGCATACGTATGTATCCCATTTCGCAGCATGTACTCGGTGGACATAGAAACTACGCTCTCTCTACTTTCCGTAGCTCTCTTTCTCCCTCTCTCGTCTCCCTCGAAACGAGATTTCTTTATTTCGTCTTCTCTTCTCTCCTCTCCTCCGTATACCCATTTCCGATTTCTACGTTTACTTTCTTACGTTTATTCGATCGCCGATCGATATTTACTATATTCCGATGACGAAAATCTACCGTCGTCCAAGTTGCATACTTTCCGTTACTCGTGCTTCTGCGTTTCTTCGCAGAAGAACGCGTATCGTGGAGCAAAAGGTAAATTCGACGAGTCGTGGATCGAAATTCCGGTATTCCGAATGCCAAGATCGCGTCTCGTTCGCTTCTCCCCTGGAGCAAAGGCTTCGTACGTAATCCCTTCTTCGCTGCTACCGCTGCTGCTACTGCGCTTCGCTCTTCCATAACTCGAACAATTCCAATAGTCGTTAATCTGTCGGAAACTTTCGGAAAACTTGCCGTTATTGCAGGTACAGCAGCGAGTCCATGCAAGTAAGTAGGATAAGCGGAGAGGCGCAAGGTGAAGGAGAACGATAGAGAGGAATTGGGGTAAGACGAGATGAGAAGAGACGAGGCGAAAGGAGACGAGATGAAACGGGAATAGAGGGAAGAGAAAAGGGAAAAGGGAAAAGGGAAAAGGGAAAATGGAAAATGGAAATGGGGGTGTGAGAGAGAGAGAGAGAGAGAGAGATGGGCGGGTAGGCGAGGAAGAATCGTATTTGATGGGAGGTGGAAAGGTTGTGGGAGGAAGGAGTTGGCAGGGCAGATTCTACGCGGAGATGCGACTCTAGAAGAGTCGAGGGAGAATGGGGATGGGAACCGGTGTGCCGAGGTAAGTTAAATAAACTTGTTTAGTTTCGCGGAAACTTCTGCCTGGCCATTGTATTCGACTGCCTCGCTGCCGAGTTTGCTCTGAAACTTTCGAATACGAACGAACTCGGTTCTCCGTTACGCTTTATTCGCTTGCTTTACCAACTTGCTACCTACGGTTAGTTACTCTTCCGCCTTCCCTCTTTTCCTCGGTTTTCGCATTTTCCACAATCACGCATAGGCCTTATGGCGTTCGGTCCCGTCCTCTATCTCTCGCGACAGAGGCCAGAGTTAGAGGTACTTGCGTATCGGATGGAAAATGGCGCGACACGCGATCCCGAGACGATCTCGAGACGATCCCGAGACGATGCCGAGACGATGCCGAGACGATGCCGAGACGATCGGCGAGACCTCTGGCGATACCCGGAGGTCCAAGTGCGCGGAAAAGAGAATCCGATCGGAAAGAAAATCGGGCAAAGTGCCCCGTCGTCGCTAGTGTGGCAGCAGACCGAATGGCTTATTGATTTAACGAGAGAGAGAGAGAAAGAGGCGAAAGAGAAACAGGAGGAAAGCAGGAAGCACGGTGAAGCAACGGGGAAGCATGGGGGAGTACGGGGGAGCACGGAGTACGGCTGAGCTCGAGGTGGCTGTGGGGGGTCGCGAGCGGCAGCCTGGGGGAGGTTTGTGGGTGGCTAGGCTGAGACTAGGGAGAGGGTACGGGTAGGAGATGGGTAACGTGGAATAGGCTAGGCGAAGGTGGGGGAGAGGAAGGCTCGCGGGTTCGCTGGCTCGCGAGCTCGAGAACCGGTGAAAAGAGTAGTAGGGTGAAGCAGGGTAAGGTAGGGTAAGATAGGGTCGGGGGCCGAAGAATAAGGGACACGGTTGCCAGTGCGCGCGGGGATGAAAGGGGCGAAAAGAAAGACCGAAACGAAGGAACGGTACAGAGATGCTAGTTGGCGAAATCGAACTAGTCGAAACTCGATAAAACGCTGATAATTTCGAAATCGGTTCTTCTCTTTAGCCGTAACACGGTTCTTCTCTTTAACGACCACGTTCTCTTTCCTCGTTCTACACCTTCCACCTCTTCGTCGCCACTTTGTTTCCGATACGAAACCTCTGTACTTACGTACGTATATGCGAGTTTCGCCATTTTACCCATTTCACCCATTTCCAAATCTTCCCTAATCCTTCCCACCTCTTCATCTTTCACGGACAATCTTCTTTCCATATACGCCAACCTTTCTCTTTTTCTTCTTTCCTTTGCAAATTTCTCTAATTCTCCTTGTTAAATTCTAACGCGAGAATCCGTTGCGAAGCCCTAGTAAAATATCGTAACCCAAACCGTTTGGTTGAACGACGTTCGAGCAGAGTATGGTGGCCGAATGGTCATTGGCCGATCAACAAGTGGCTCATGATTTTGTCAGTGGCTCTGCGACCGACTAGCCCGCTGGCCGGCCTGTTGTCCAACCGTCCGGCTGGCCGACTGTCTGCGTCCGGTTACCCGATGCGGTCTACCGCTAAAACACTCCAGGCATTCTCCGACCCAGCTAACTCGTCATCCATTATGCTCCTCCCATCCTATCCTGTTCGTGAAAATCCTGATCGATTAACATACCGATATAATCCAATCCACTAGAATCCAATTTTCTCCATTCTATTTTACCTTTTTCGTCCGCTACCACGTCCTTTCCGGCAACCTATACTCATTCGCGAAACGTGCCTACGTAGTCTCCGGACGAGCAACAATCGATCACGGCAAGTTACCAATCTTTCCAACTGCGCCTGTCAATTTTTTCTCCTTTACCATACTTACAGCTTTTCCCTTTTATTTTTCCTATTTCTCTCGCTTTTCCTAATTTTTCATCCAGCCGATGTCGTTGTCGCCACGTAGAGTACACCGATACCGATGACTCGAGCGAGGTTTGCAAAGGATCGCGCGCGATCGCGTTTGCGTTCGCGTTCGCGTTCGATCGTGCGGCACACTTTCTCTACGAAACATCTTGTCTATGAGCGAAAGAGAAAGCAAGTTTACCGGTAGCGGTTACTTTCCTACGCCGCTTAATTCCTCCGTTCGGCATCGTTTTATCTTTTTGCACGAAAGCTTGGAAACAGGAGGAGGCGAGTAAGCGTACTCGCGTACGTGGCGAGCAAAGTCACGAGCCCGCGCGTGTTGTGTGTGTGTGTCGAGAGCAAGCAAGCAGGAACAAAGGTGGAGAGGAAGACAAAGAATAGAGATCGGGGATCGAAGAAAAGAAGACAAGGCAAACGTGTTTTCCGATTTCATCGGACAGCATTGCTCTTGATCAAACGCGTCGCGATAAGTAAATTCGATTACCAATGTTCGTTAGAACGAATTTACTCTGCTCGCTCACCATCACCGGGATTTCAATTTTTCCCCCTCGATGCGATAGGCCCGTGCGATAGTATGTATGTAAATGTGCTGGAAATGCAGTACCTAGTCTGTACATTTGGCTCAACGATACACAGACCTACGCGCTTTTTTATGCTCTTCCAATCTACGTTTATTCATTCTTTTATGGACACCAGTTCCCTCGTAGTATAGGTTCGCCTTTCATTTTGTTTCAACCACGAAGAGAACCAAATGAAAAGCTGAAACGGTCAAAGAAGGTATACCGGGTGTAAAAATAAAGGTAGCGCGATGCCAAGCTGGCAGATCTGTGCCGTTACACCATCCGGTTTACCCGTTTCTCCTTCTTCGTGCTGCGAGCGATTGAAAAATCCAACGAGAAGATAACTGGTAAATGGAAAAGGTTACGACGAATTATGAAATGCTAAACGATAAACGATAAACGGTAACCGGTGAAGGATGCAGTGAAAGTAGCGTGGATGGTTCGCGTGTAAATCGGGTACGGTGAAGAGAAGCGAAACCATGCTCGAATCTCCGAACGCGACACGTACGTTAAACGAGGTCCGTGATAAATCCTATCGCGGATACGGCTTTTAGTTTCATACAGGCTAGACGATATTCGCCGACTGGAGAGAGCAGAATGGATAAGCGATAAACGCGAAAGAAAGGACGAAGAATGAAAAGCAAACGAAGGAGGAACGAATGGCTATGAAGACTTTTGTACACGATATAGAACGATATCGTGCGTGAGTGGCTGAGATGAAAGGAGAAGGACGAGACGAAACGAGACGAAGCGAGACGAAACGAGACGAGACCAGACGAAACGAGACGAGACCAGACGAGACCAGACGAGACCAGACGAGACGAAACGAGACGAGACGAGACGAGACGAGACGAGACGAGATGAAACGAGATGAAACGCGATGAGATGAAACGAGATACGCGATAATGCTAAACGTCATGCATCTCGCGCAACTAAACATGGTTCGCAAAACAGACGTTTCCATTGCAAATATAGAAGAGATGATTAAATTCGCGTACGTCCTTTTCTAGGATATACATGTATAAACCATAGAATAAATAGAGGTTTGAAAAAAACTGACCTTGTAAGAGAACTGGTCGAACATTCTGCAAACGTCGACGTCGTTACCGAGTATCGTATAACCGGCGTCCATGCTGTCCCGCCGTTTCTTGTCGCTGCCTAGAACGAGGCTTCTGTAAGTGAAAATCGTTCGTCGAACGATAAGGACAGAAATTTCGCGGCAAGCCAGTACCAAATAAACTGATCGCAATTGCACCGACTATGCCGTCGCTCATCGTCCCGCGGCTTCTGCCGTGGTCACCCTGCGGCTCGCCACCCTCTTCAACTGTTTCTCCTTTGATCCCCGCTCTCCTTGCTCCTTTTTCGTGAATAAATCTCTCGTAATACCAATTAACACGACACACGAATCATCCTCCTCGATCTGATTCAAATGTTCAGCCAAGTTAGTAGCTGCGCAGCCTTATCGAATCACTGATCGCGAATCGAATTGATTCGACCGATCAATCCAACACGCGGCCATATACGAGTTTCTCCCGTATGGCATCGTGAAATTTCATTTTCATCGCGATTTCGATTTCGTTACCGATTTCGTTACCGATTCCGATGCCAATGCCAATGCCAATGCCAATAGCGATAACGATACCGATACCGATACCGATACCGATACCGGTGCCGATACCGATACCAATAGCGATACCGATTTCGGTACCGATTCCGATACCGATACCGATACCGGTGCCAATTCTGATACCAATTACAATGCCGATTTCGATAAAAATGCTAATACCGATATCGATACCGATTCCGTCTTCGACTCTAATCAAGGTAAGCTAATCGAAAACGGTACTTGGTTAGTTATACGTCATAATCGTTTTTTGATAATTTCCCTTTTACGTTTCCCTCGAGATTCCGATGCTAAAATTTTTCACGTACCGCGATCTTCTCTTTGGAAAACATTCGTTCTTTCTCAAGATCGTTCACTCGAATCTTAGACACGATAGTCTAAACCGCGTAAGAGTATAACGCGATCGTAGATCCTATTCGATCGTACCCTTTCCCCGACGTATCAACTACGATATGCACCTTTTCGTTGGAACAATCATGGAACTATTACTAAAAAATAGTTCTAAAAATGGTTCTTTCGAGTTTGTCGATGATCGATTTCATCTCTGCGTCGCTTTCTTCCTCTCCTCTCCGTTATCTTCTACTTTTCTTGCCTTTCTCTTCTTTAAACTCGTTTGCCTTCGTCTACTTTTCAATTTCGACGAGGCTAGTATACGCGAGTGACACACAGCCCACGCGTCACTCGCATCGAGCGTATTTAATACTTAATCTTTAACTCGCGAGAAATGAACTTGGAATTACATATACATATGTACGTACTTCGATGATCGTTACTTTTGCGTTTACGTCACCATTCACGTCGGCTGTTTGTTAGTTAACCTAACAAAGTTAACCCGATTCGAACGAAATTGTCACCGATATAGAGATTTCACGATCGTAACCGTCGAAATACCGGCTTACCGCTGCCGGCTGTGAAACCGGAGCACGTGCATGAACCGCGTTTTTCGCTTATGGATGTCGCTTTGTTCTCGGATCTGTTTCCTTTTAACCATCTAACACCGACCACGACCACCGACTGCGCACCGGTACCGGCAATGGCAACGTCGACGCTCAGAGCGAAAGCAACGAGGACGATCGTGACGTTGGTGGTGGTGCTACTGCCGACGCCACTGCCGCCGCCACCGACGCCATCACCGCCGCCGCCGTACCCGCTGCTGCTACCACCACCACCGCCACCACCACCACCATCGCCACCACCACTACCACCACCACTACCACCACCACTGCCGCCGCCGCCGCCACCGCCGTCGTCGCCGCCGCTGCCGCCAATGTTGAACATACTGTCAGTGGTGGTGGATGTAATACCACCGAAGTAGGGGGTGGTGATGAAACGGTAGTGGAGGTAACGGTGACACTAGTAGTGGTAACAGTTCAGATCTCTCCCCCCCATCCCTCTCTCTTTTTCTCTCTCTCATTTCCTCTTTCTCTTTATCTCCTAACCTTTCATCCCATTCTTTTGCTCGATTGTATGTTTATTTATCTGTTTGCCAAGAGCTTTCTTGAGTACTGTGTGAATACCTAAACGCGCATAGAGTAAATAATGGAATAAGAAAAGAAGAAAAATTGGCGAATCGTAGCAATAATTTCGAGTGTACGTTGCAACGACCTCTACATATACGCATATGAAAATTGCTAATCCGGAAATAATTCGCATGCTAGTCGTCGCGATTTCCTTCTTTCGATGTTACTCCTTGGAACACGTATACACGTATATACGCGTAGATGAAAAGTTAAAGGACGATTCGTGTTTTGCTCGGTCCGTTTCTAGCAAGCTACCTATTACCGTAAGATTCCAAGGTAGTAACAAAGGTAGTAGAAAGAAGAGGAGAACACGGCAGTTTTAGCGGGAACGATGTTGAAGTATCAAGACGCGTGATTAATGCGACGATAAATTTGTGGAAAAATCGGTCAGGGTCGAGAACTAGAAATTACGGCTTCGACATGAACGGTCACGTGGATCGCACGTGGGTTTCATTCATGAAAGTCACCCGTAGGTCTCGGAGGTGGCGTCAGCTGTGGTAACGGTAGTGGTAAGTAGCGGTCGGTGGTGGTAGGTAGTGGAGGAAGGTAGTGGTAGGTAATGGTAAGCAATGGCAGATAGTGGTAGTGATTTTGAAATGGCGAAGATCGAGTTGGCGTATAATTTGCAGTAGCGATAGCGGCATTGCTGCAAATTTAATCATTTCCATGGTTCTTTCGCTATAACGCGGATGTGGTTACATGTTCCTAGCGATTATGCAATACCGAGAAACGCGAGCATCGTTTCATGCCGCGTAGACGTTAAAAATATCGATTTAAAAAACAGGAAATTTACCGTGCTATCGGATAACGTACACGGGTATATTTACACTGCACATATATACGCGTGCTTTGATCGCGAACGATAAATCGATCGATCGTGAAACAAAAAGCGTATAACATTTCTCGTTTTTTATTTCTTTTCTCTTTGCCTTTCGCTACACTTCTCAAGGTTCAAAGTGTCATTTCCCATTTCTTTTCTTCTCGAGTAGAAGTATGCTCCATTCGCGTGTCGACTACACCACGCTCCGATTACCATTCTTATCTATGGTTCTCGAGCCCTGGTGTTGTTCGAGCAACGAGCTTGACATCGTGCCACGAATACTCTATAATCGGAACGACTCCAGGGTTACGCTCCATTCATATCCTCTCTCTCTCTTTCTCTCTCTCTCTCTTTTTCTCCGTTTCATCCAACCTTTTCTATCGACGGTCCCCTCTTTTTATCCCCTTGTATCCCTTTCGTACTATCCGCCTCTAAGCAATTTACTTCGGTAAAGAGTATCGCGCGATATAATCGAAATTTTATCCGGTTAGTTGGATAAAAAATAGACAAACGCGAATGCGAATTTTCGATCCGTATAGCAAATGTTCGGGAATCATCGGTATCGAACTGTCACTTCGTAAGTTTCACCGTATGTTGTTCCGTTTCGGCCTACCGATTCGTTCCTACATACATACATACATACATACATACATACATACATACTTCCTCCTCTCATCTTCTTCAAAAGCGATTTGTTTTAGATCCCCTAAACCCCAACCCCTAGGCTCCCACCCCTGCCGCTACCCCTACCCTTGGCTCTTCACTATTTTCCTTTCCTCCGGATGAGTCCAGATATAAACGCGCATGCCGCGCGACGCGTATACTTTTCTGTATGTTCGCCAAAGCATCGTACATACGTTTAGATTTCCGAGTCTCGTCGAGCGCGCGCATATCCCACGGGAATCAATATCCGCGTGTTTCTCCGCTTCCTCTCCCTTCTTTCCCTTCTTCCACGTTCTCATACTCGTCCTCCTCGTGCCTCTTGCCTCTTGCCTCGCGCATCGCACCTCGCGACTCGCGCCTCTGCGCTCCGCTACTCGACAACTTATCAACTCGCCCGCTCGCCTACCCTCTTTCCCCCCGATTCTCTCTGCCTCTTCCTCCTCCGCCTCCTCCACCTCCTCCGCCCTCTGCCTCCACCCTCTGCCTCTGCCTCAGCCTCTGCCTCTGCCTCTGCCTCTGCCTCTGCCTCTGCCTCTGCCTCTGCCTCTGCCTCTGCCTCTGCCATACTCTCGGCCTCTCTTCCTCGCTCTCTTTATGGCCCTTCATCCCTCGATCTTTCTCTCCTTCTCCCTCCATCTCCCGCCGCCCTGCCCCGCCTACCCTTTATCGGCCGGTTCCTTTTCCTTCCCCGTTTGGCCGCACCTCCTTCGATACTGCATCGTACTGTTCGCCATCCGTCTCTGATAAACGTGATTTAGAGAAAAGGGTGGTGAGTATACGACCATCCGCCACCTCTCTCTTCTCCGCTGTAGATCAGTCTTCGTTTGTCGCACTTGCTATTCTATACCACCGCGTACCTCTGTCCCTCGAACCCAGACCTACCTTCCGTTTCCTCCTCCTCCTCCTCCTCCTCCTCTTTCCACCCGACTTTCGTCCCTTCCTTGTCCGTAATATGGTATTCTCCGTTTACTCGCGGTCCTCGCGGCCCGTAGCCTTCGGTCCTCCTCACTCTGGCCAACTCCCCCGCCCTCCTTGCGTCACTCCTGACAGCTACTTTTCTCACCATAGTCCACGTACAGCTACAAAACATTCAATCTTGACGTAAAGTCGACGCGAAATGCATCTTTTTTACTCGGGTACACTCTTTCTTTCCCTCCCTATCTCTCTCTCTCTCTCTCTCTCTTTCTCTCTGCCCCTCCCCTTCGATTTCACGGATAATTTGGACAAGATAAGGGAAGAACGGCGATTAATCGATCTCACGACCCTGCGTACGTAGATTTGCTCCGCACCAGAATCGCACGTGGATTCTTCGCGGATTCGAAAGAACGAGAGAAACACGCGAGGGAGGAGAAAGAAAAATCGTATATCGAAGAATGTATAACGTAATTTAGCAAGTTTGGTCGTTGGACGGAAACGATGGAGGAAAGTCGTGGATGTAATGCAACGCGAAGACGAGTTAGCCGATAATCGGGGCAACGATCGAGATAATAAGGTGGCAGGAGGAGGAGAGAAGAGGAAAAAGGCTCGTGAGATGCTTGGTTTAGGTATCGCGCGATTGTCCATAATCACCCCCTATGGCAAGGTGCACGTTGGACGAAAGTTTGAGAAAAACGGCGAATAGAGATTAAGCGATCACCGATATATATATATATATATATAAATATTGGAGAGAAAGTAACGCGAGAAGAGGTTGGAGGCGTTCTCGTTTTGATTGCACGCGATCGAGCAAACTAGTACGTATACGCTTGTCGCGACGCAGCACGCTGATGCGCTTCATCGAAGCGTTCGCTGAAACGAACTGTACGGTTAAATCGAGCGTCGTCTAATCTCGTAAAAGAAATTTTGCATCGTTACCGAGCAGCATCGACGCTCTACAAAGCTTCTTTCGGTCGAATGATCCGCCGCAAAAACATTAGCGCGATTAACGCGCGATATCGCGATTCAGCCGTTGCCCCCACGAGCATTTAAAAACCTCTCGCCGCGTTTTAAAACAACCGCCAACGAGAAAACCATTCGCCAACATTTCCTATCGCGTCTCTTTAACTTTCTTATAAAATACCATATCGCTATTTCAACCCGTTCCACGAGTAAACCACGTATATGTAGGTATATATACGTATGGTGCACGCGTCACAGGTAGCGACACGTGTAGCGTGGGAGAAACGAAAGAACGTAAACGAAGAGGTAAGTCTTAAGGATTTTCGATATTTTACAAACGCGAAACGAGGATGGTGGACTACGATGGATTTTATTACGAACGTGTTTCCGCGTGCAATCGCGATCAGCGTTTCGTTCGTTTAGGCGAAAGCAAACGAGAGCAAACGAGAGCAAACGTAAGGAAAAGATCCTGGAACCAGAAAGGGGATTATGGGAAATCGGGAAATCGTGAAGGAACGAAGGAATAAATGAAATGCGTGGTAGGCGAAGGAAGAGAGACGAAAGCGAGAGAAAATAAGGGAACAGCAGAGGGGAGAAAAGAACCCGTGGAAAAGAACGTTGAAAGCACGGGAGAGAGGTTGTGCGTGAAGGAGAGAAAGAGAGAAAAAGAAAAAATAAAAGGGAAAAAGAATAAAAGGAACCGGCTCTGCTCGCCAGCTGACGGTCTCGTGCCGCAACCCGAAACTCTTTTCGAAGATTCGGTTGCCGGTATTTGTATATCACGTATGGTATATACCTGCGCGACTTGACTGGTTTTGCGCTACCTGCCGTTGCTGTCCCTCGCGACACTGGCTACACTCGATCTTTATCGATTCCGCTCGATCGATTCCGCTATGCAACCTTTCGCTCGTATATACGCTTCCATCGCTGCGAAATAATCTGCTCGCATCTTTGACCGTTGCTAAAAGCTCCACGGACAATACGGAATTTCGCTTGTACGATAGAAGAAATTGTCGCGGATGGGAACGATGTCGTTCGCATTCGTTGTTCCTCCTCTTGCGCAATTCTCTTCGTCCGCTCGCTCGTCTTCGTCGCATTCCCGTTGGTATTGATCCGTTGAGTTTTCGAAAGTAAAATAGGTTATGCCGTTGAATCGCACGGAACTACAACTCCGGACAGCAACGAACGAGACGAAACGGTGGTGTGCACGGTGGAACCGAAACGGTGAGAACCGGAACGAAAAGACCGACCGACCGACCGACGAGTCGAATCTACGGATGGACACCACGGTAATACGTATACACGTATATGCCAGCACATCGCGTCAACTGCATCTACCTGTCTACTTATGTCTATGTCTATGCGTGGATACTGCCTATATCGATGTGCAAGTTTACACGAAGAAGAAAGCCTGGTTACAGCAAGAGGGCCGAGGGGAACGGTTGGAAGGCCAACTGACGAAGGGAGAGGAAGAGACGGGGAGTTTGCAAAGTTTCGAGATTCAAGAGCGCTGCTCTCAATACGACAAGTTTGTGCAAACAAGAACTTACTTGGAAGGATGGATAATGTCGCAGATAAATCAACGAAATTTAATAAATCGACGTCTCTAAAACTTTCGTTTAATTGTGTCTTCTTGCCCGCCCACCTCTCCCTTCCTCTCTTTCTCACTCAGTTATATTACCAATTGCATCCGTGTCTTCTTGCAACGTCGTCTCCAAGCTGCACTTTTCCAGGCCGATCGTACAGCGAAACAAAATCTACTTGCTAATCACGCGTTCGTTCGTTCTCCTATTCTTTCTCGTACTAACGTCATCGATTCCACTCATAGCCAGCCCTTTGATACCACGTTAGTTTATCGCTCGTACCCTAACTGCCGACAGATTTCTTTGATTATTAACTTCAGGAAACCGTCTATCGTGTGCTTCGCGATACTCGTTCATACGATAAAAAGCTACACGCCGACTGAAAAAGTTCGCGATTGATAATGCGAATAAGAAGACAAAAAGAAGAGTAGAAAAATGTAGACGAGAATAGTAGAAAAAGGAGGGGAAAGCGCGTATCATCGTCGGCATGTCATATTTATTATCAAATTTCTTTCTTTTATGTCTTCTCGCTTTCCTTCTTTCAATCGCCCTCATCCTATTTTAGCACCCTTTTCGGGACTAGCTACCCGAGGGAATCAATAACCGACGAGGAAGCGACTGTAGATTCGGGAACTAGCGGAGAGAAGGGGAGATACGAGGAACCAAAGAGTACCGAGGGGCGTCGCGTCGAGTAGAAGAGCTCCCCGCTGTTCTGGGAGGGTGTCGGAGGGTGCAACAGGGACCGCGAACTTTAGGGTGGAGGTGGCACGCGAGAGAGTCGACGCTTGGCTCCGCCTCCGGCACGCGACCAGCACGCGACCACTGCCATCGACCACGCCGTCGGTCTAGGCCACCGCCACCACCGCCAACGCCACCGCCGCCACCGCCGCCACCACCGCCGCCAGGATTCGCGGGTGGTTCGAAAGCCTTCTGTTCGCTCGGCGGAAGTAAATGCACCATACTAACCGGCACCGGGAACGCCGCGGCGGCGAAGTCGGGGAAGAAGCCCTGCGGTAGGTTACCACCGAGCAACGAGTGATGAGGAAATCCACCGTCGTCGCCGGGATGAGGCGGCAGACCTGCCAACGGATGAGTCATCTGCGTAGGCGGCTGGACGGCCTTCACGTTGTTGTTCAGCGAATTCATCACTACCTCGCCCGTCGTCGCGCCGGTGCAGTCCCTTCTCAGTTGTTCCAGTTTCAAACTTTTCCCGTATTTCCCGCGCACGTACATGAGCAGACTGTTGTACGGTATCCCGAAGATCCTGCTAGCCTGCGACGTGGTCATCTTCTTGTTCCACACGTGCTGCAGCGCCTCGGTCAGCTCCGCGTTTGTCCAAGACCTAGGTGGTCCTCCCCTGGGCGCGCTGTGCTGACCTTTCGGCCTGCCGACCGGCAGACCTCGGCTACCGTGGTCACCCCATCTTCGCGGCGCCTCGCCGTCGCCCCTGTGTTTCTTTGGCTTTTTCCCCGGATGATGACCGCCGAGACCCGCCGCGCCGAACAACCCGTGCAGCGTTTCCGGTTTAAAGCTATCGTGCAGATCCGCCAATAGGGATCCCCTGTCGAGAGCACCGGCGTGTGGGAACAGCCCGCCACCTAGCGACGCGACGCCGTCTAACGGGAACATGGCCGTCACGGAGCTTCGTCGCGGCGTCAACGGGGATTCTTGCTGTTGCTGTTGCTGTTGCTGCTGTTGATACGGATGCGTTCGATTGGACCGGTGCGGACTGCTCTCTCGCGGATGGTGACCCTGAGGCGGAGGTGGCAGTTGGCTCTGCGGATGATTCGGCAACCACTGGGCCGCCAGCTGGCCCAGACTCGTCAGGTACTCGCTGTGGTGATGCGGCGGCGTCAACGACAGAGCCGACATCGTTGGCAGGCCTGCCGCGGCCGCCGCCGCCGCCGCTGCTGCCGCAGCAGACGGAATATCTTGGAGGGAACCGTCAGGGTGCAGCAGACTCGTGCCGGTTAACGGTGATCCCCTGGGACTACTCGCCGCTTCGCTGCTCTCCGCCTTCACGTGATGTTGCTCCGCTCCACTCGGCGACACGGATCTCTTCATCGAGAGATTCTCCGCCATGTCCTCCAGTTGTTGCTGGTTCTGCGAGCTCGTCGAGGACTGTTGTTGCTGTTGCTGATGATGTTGTTGCTGCTGGTGCTGCTGCTGCTGCTGTTGCAGCTGCTGCGGCTGTTGGTGCCCACCGGTCAGATTCAGACCGCTCACCGGCGGACTCAGACTCGCCGGTGGATGAGGTCGACTGAGGTCCTGCGGCACCAGCTCGCCGGATCTCCTTCGCGGCCGGGCCTGTTTTCGCCGGGGTAACAGCGGCGATCCGCAACTCTCTCGCAACTCGCGCATCCCAAAGTTCAAGTGGCCCATGTGCGGTAACCTATCGCGATGGTCCCTCGCAGGATGAAAAATGGTCGGTGTGGTCACCGGCGCTGGTTCCCGCGTCGATGGTGGCGCCGTGCTCTCCGACGCGTTGTCATCCTCCTCGGGGGTGCCTTGTCTGGCGCCCTCGGGCGTCGACGGCTCGCCGAGGAGAAGGTCCGCGGTCGGCGTTTCCGGCGGCGACGTCGGCCTGGGCTCCGACGACGCTAGTCCACGCACCTGCAGGCTCTCCGCGGCCCTCATCAGTCCTGGAAGCTCCTCTCGGCCGACTCTCACCTCGCCACGGTACATGAAGTCGATCAGCGCCGCTACCTCGTGGCCGGGAAAGTCCTTCAGCACGATCACCGGATGTTTGCAGGGGTGCTCCGCGAATATCCTCTCGAAGAATGGACTGTAATTCAAACGACTCCGTTTATTTCCAGTTTAGATTATCGCGTAGTTAACGTTTCTTTCGAGTTTCTTATCACACGAGTTAGAAAAAGTAGCGACAGGCTGTTGAAGGATCGGTGAAACAGGTTGTAGTTATCCGATCTTTCCTCCGTGGTATCTGCGGCTGATAAATCATTCGAACGAACGGGAATTTGTTCATGGACGATAAAACGTGACGGTTAATGCGCGTAAATTTCACGGAATCGCGTTCCCTCGACATCGGTACCGTTTTTGCTACCGCCATTTTGTATTTCCTACCGGTTCACGCGTTGTCACTATGATCCGCGAAAATTTTTCCCTAATAACAAGAACGTAGAATCAAAGAGCGTTACGTTTGGTATTATCGGAGATATTCGTAGTTCCTAGAACCCTCAATAGAGTTCTCACGGAGTTCTCCGTGTATCTTAATTGTATAATTAGTTTCTAGATGGCGGTTGCATCGCGGTCACGATCGTATAAAATTTCTTTCATGATTGTACGAAACGAATTTTTCTTGAACCAGTGTCACTCGTAAACGTTCCCTTCTATGTCTGTTAAGGGTGATCATGCATCGTGTGCATGGAGAAATAAAATGACAAAAATGTACTACACGTATGCGTTCTATACCATCGTTCCCGTTTACGTCTGCCGGCTCTTTTGTTTCTTATAAGACGATTATGTCTGATTTACTCCGCCATTATCAAACACGCGACCCTTGCTTAAAACGAGAACCGAGTATGCATAATCTTTACGATGTCTAAAAAGGAGATTGCAAATTCTACGACGTATAGGCTTATTTATAGGTTATCTTGCCACTGCTCTAGCTTGCGATCAATTTTTAACCGATTTAGTGCACGTGTACATTCCTCGTGGCATATTCGTGTTTCATTTCGGTTCGAAACGATCGATTGTTTCTTGATTTATGTATAAACGAGGAGTAGACGTATCTTACACGAAGCATATCTAATATCGGTGTTAATATTAAAAAGTTCCATAGATGAGATCGGAAGGTTCCTTTAGAAGAGGATAGTTGCATCGGCAAGATGATTTTTTAAAACAATCGCTAGATTCAGTTTCCGTTTCCTGGTAACTATGCAATGGCCGATATATCTCGATCTAATCGTGGTTTCTATCTTTCTAATGTCATTCTTTCATCTTCAACAGGTCATTAGCCCGATGACAAACGAGAAGAAGCAGCCATGCTATTGACCACACCTGTTTTATAATATTCCTTAAGCTAGAAAGGTTATCAACGAAGCAAAGGAACTTGGTTTCTCATTGTCAGAGATAAATATACCTAAGGAAAATTCGAAAAAGTACGAATTGCTCGATGAAGATACTTATTTTCATTATCTGTTACAGCAGGCCCTGGCTATGCCACCTTTTGACTCATTCGGTAGGTTTATGGAACAGACGAAGAGAACATTCGGAGTCTTCTGGATTTCACGAGTAAGCAAAGGGAGTAACGATCCGCCGCCACCACCGCCACCGCCACCGCTACCACCACCGCTCGCGCCGCCACCGCCGCCGCCGCCACATCCAACGCTACCGGTACCGCCACTGCCATCGTCACCCCTATCGCCACTGTCGCTATCATCGCCATCGTCGTCCCCGTCCCCGTCCTCGTCCCCGTCATCCTCGCTATTTAGCGTTATCGTTACCATCGTCCTTTTTATCTCCATCGGCTTCGTTTACGATTACGCAAAGGCCAAGTAATCCGTCTCGCATCATTTTCCACTCTATCTCTCCAATCCTTACTTATCTCCTTTTTATTATTTCTCATCTTTGAACCTTACAAATTTCTCCTATTCAATTTATTACTTTCGCCTTATAATTTATCACATTCTAGCTTTATCTCTATATCCTAAACTCATTTTATTCTATTATCTTAATGCGTCTTTCGTTATTCTATTTTTCTTACTAAACTATACCATAGTCTATTAAACGTAAAATAAAGCACATTGCTTCTTTCGCCTTATGAATTGAATTTAACGTTTACATATAATTTATACGATATACGATCGATTTCTCTTATACTGTCATCGTAATAACTTCGGTACGATAATTGCGAGAAACCGTTATATATGTAAATTGCGAAAATCAGTTATTAACGCGTTTAATCTTAACGTATTTATTTCATTTATCTTGCTTTTCTTCTAACTACATGTCCGTTTTTCTTTCACCACTTGTGTATTTCCACCTACGAACCAATCAGTCGACTAACCTCTTATAATCAGTCCGCCGCGGTTAAGCAATCGCCCAGTTATCGGTCAGTCTGTCAATGAATGCGTTACATAGCGAACCAATCAGTTAAATAACCGGTTAATCAACCAGTTAGACAGCTTGTTTTCTATCTTCTACCAACTTTTTATCACCGACTTCTTACTATTCTATTCTACTCTCGTGCAATCAATTTCAAACTTAAATGAAATACTCTGGTGAAATATGAGGCTCATTTCCGTCACCCCACCTCCTCTCTTCTTTCTTCGCTCAACTTTTTCCATCTCCTCAATTTCTTTTTTTATTTCGTTTCACTCGTGGATTACCACCCTGTTCGATTTTCTTCATTTTACCACGATTCCAACTATTATTATTTCTTACCTTTCTCTCCCAAATTGTGTTCTTTAACGCGAACAATTAATAAATTATTGATAGAAAGCAAAAATATATATTTCACTGGTCTATTCTACGTTACGAGCCTCGAGGTGTTAATGTTCGCTGAATATCTATACGTAAAAAGATGATACGAATAATTCGAAATTAAACACTTGGGTATGCCTATTTTCTCTCCACTTACGATCCATTGAGACTATAAAAAGCTGTTTTCTTTCTGACTTTTCCTTCTTATTACGTACATATTAAGAAACCATCCTTACACGTCTTTCTCTGTGTGTTTGATTTAAACAAAATCTCGTCATTTTTACCAGTTCAAATATAATGAAATGCTACTTTGATAACTTTTACAAATTTTTCTAATCTTAACGTGAATTTTAATATGAATTTTAATGTGATATGAAACAATTTTATTTCAAACTTCTTTTTATTTATTTTCTTATTCTAAACCAGGATCATTAATTAATATACAATAACCTGTTGATAAATCAATCGGTAAGTACAAAATTTCATACAAAGGTACGGTCATGTCGATTCTAGTTCCATTAATAGTTCACTATGTTTTTGCGTTATTCTTGCTTTTTTCAGTTTTTCCTCGTCATACCTACAAAAATATGTTGTACTTGTGTATGTGAAAAGGGAGAAAAGGTACATATATATTACATAATATATTTATGATAAATTAAAACACACACAAGTATATTATGATTACTAAGAAGAACAAAGAAATAAAAAGCAAAGGAGGGCAATCAGCGAACAAAGTAGAAATAGAAAAGCAAATTTTCTCTTCCTTACCGATTCCATTAACCCTTTGTTGTGTAATAAGGTAGAGAAAGGGAACTAGAGAAATTTGCAACATCTTCATCCGTCCAATCGATGAGAGGAAATTCTACTTGTACAAACGTGCTCTCGCTTAACCGTGCAAGATTATTATACATTTCTCTTTCCTTCCAATTTAATCGCTTTCCAAGCAATAATATTCTTAATTGTGGTTTCGATGCAGCGAAATGTTTTATTGTCAAAGCGACATCGTTATCCTTGTTCTCCAAATCATATAACTCAACATTGTATCTATCATTTCAATCGAATTAGTTTCGAATTAGTTTCGAAACGAAACGATATCGTTTTCATGTTACTTTTACAGCGATTAAAAAAAATTCATTACTATTTTAACATGACATTATACTTACCTGTTCTTAAGTTCATGAAAGAATTCATTCGTGTCCAAAGTTAGAATATCCGATTTAAAACAAATCGCATGCAGTTTCAACTTTGGACAATGTCGCAATTTGTTACCAGCGATACGAGCGAGATGTATCATAATGACTGACTCTTCGCTACCGTCTAAATATATCCACACTTCTTCCGGTTTCTTATAGTAATTCCTACAACGAACGAAAGAGAAAGAAAACAAAGGAAAATTCCATGATGCTTTATAATCGATACAAATAATCGATACTTTTTCCAGTTGTAGAGGCATTACACGAATTTCTTGAAGGAACCCTCGTAAACTGATCCATGCTGAAACTTTCCTATTAATCTTTCGTATTTCGAAAGACAATCCACGTGTGGTGTTCGATCGTAATGTATTAGCACATTTGTTGGAATTCGATCGCAAAACATTTCTTTTGCTTTTTCGGTCTCCTTCTCATCCTCACTTTCTATAGTTACGCGTGCTTTATAATATCTAATAAACATTTTTCATTATTTACCAATTTTTCACGCGATACGATATAAAAATTCACCATTCGAGTTCATGTCCAGTCTATTTTACTTCTTTATATTATATTTCATTTTATTACCTATTAGATTCTGGATATGAGCCAAAAGTAACATTTGGATATTCTCGTGTAACTTCGTACAAAGCGCTTGCGAACGATTCCTCTCTTGCGTTTACGTAAACTTCAGTTATTGCAAAACTTGTATAGTTAGCAAAACATTCCTACAAAAACAAAATTTCTATAATTCTTTTTATAAATCTTTTTTCTATAATTAAACTAGATATTTAAACTAGATAGATTATTATAATTAAAGCAACTATTGGACATAATGTACCTTGCATAATGCCTGAAAAGAAGTTTCAAAAAACATAGGTGATCCAGGAAATATATAAACATTCTGTATTACTACGCAAGGATAAGCAAGCTTTTCTCCTGTTACTTTGTTTGTCCCAAATTTAAGCACAGACTTAGTTGGTATCTAAAATTCAAGAATATGTTTACCTACATTATCAGAGAATTATCAACGTACTATTACTTCTACTTCCTGCTCCGTTATCACTTACATATGCCATTTTATAAGCAGGTGAAGGAAAAGTTCCACAGCTGAAACAATTTTGTATAATATCCACTAATGTTGGGTGATAGTGTAATGTGTCGTTAAAGGCCAATGCGGTAGCTACAAAAACATTTTCATTACATATTCCTATAAACTTTTAGACTGGATATTACCTTCGTATGTAACATCATCATGAGTTGGTCCTATACCACCAGATGTAAAAACATAGTTGAACATTTTCGAAAAGTACTTTATTTCTTTTGCAATGTCTTCAAGATCATCTCGTATAACTGCAATCTACAAAAGAATGGAAAGAAAAAATCAATTGGAACAAGAAATAATAGCAAAAGGCAATAGTAATCAATAGGTGAAGTATAGATATTATAGATGAGATTATACCTACCTTTTGAACCTTGACTCCATGCTTATAAAGCAAGTTACACGCATAAGAACAGTTGGTATCCTTTACTTGGGCTTTTAAAATTTCGTTCCCAATTACTAAGTAAGACAGAAGTAATTTAATATCAACAAACATTAGTAGGACATGCAAACGTGTTTTAATCAATCATTAGTAGACCAATATTACCGATTATTCCAGCCGTTGGGTGTCTTCCACTACTTTTCAACCGAATTAGTGTCCAACTCATGGTTGTTCGCCAACAACACTTCAATAAAACTTTTATCACGTAATGATGTAAATTTATCATAACGCTTTAACCTCACAATTAACAATTATACAATGTACAAGTATTACTAAAGGATAACGCAGTTATAGAAGGCTACGCAGCGCCTCCAAACTTAAATATTCCCGACCCATTTTTGCCAGTTAATACATAGCTCTATAAGCGATAAAGTATATTTTATACTTTCATATATTTGCACATGTTAACTACATGTCGATATACAAAATTACTTAATTATTCTAATTATAGTATACATATATACGTTCTTCTTTAATATCAGTTTCACTTTCGAATTAAATGTTCATATCTATAAGCATTTCTTCATTTCAAACGCAATTACTTCTTTCTTGTGTAATACGGAAAATCGTGTTAACTATAAATAAAATAGAATAAAAGAAAACGATTTATAAATGGATTTACAATTTAATTTCCGTTAATAATTTCAAAGAAAATTACATATTTGTAACTACTTGTAACATTTCAAGCATCTATAAGATATTTGTCCTTTCTGTTACATTTTCTCCAACATTTTCATAAGATGGCTAGTTCAAAATTACGAGAATCTGCTTTGAAGTCGTCAAAACAGTTGTACAAATTTTTGCTGCGAGAATGCGAAAGATTGCCAAAGGAAGCACAGGGATTTTACAAATTTTCGGTTAAGCAGGTAAACTATACCAACTTTTTACCTTAACAAATACGTTTTAAGAATCATTTTATTAATATGATTCTAGTTAGTCAATGACTATTTCCAACATAACCTATCTTGTATTTTTTTACGTTCTTGTAGAGTTTCAAACAACACTTACTTGAAACAGATAAGGAGCGCATTCGGCAAATTATGGAAAAAGCAGTACAAGATGCAGGCTGGGTTGTTAAAAAGGTATATAGAATTTTCATTGTTATTAATATATATTTTGAATCTGTTCTGTAATGATTTTTAAAAATATTATTTTTAGTATACTAATTCAGAAGGGACAAAGAAATTAACATGAAGATGCTGCTTACAATATAGGTAGATTCTGTAATTTATCATTTAGTAAAAACAGAATTTGTAATTGTATCATATAAAGAATGGATTTTGAAACCATAATACGTGATGAAAATGCTATTAATGCATCGCAATTTTTTAAAGCCATCAATATTTGGCGTCGTAATCCTCAAACTATAAACCGTAGAATTCTTGCATCCATCGAAATATTAAATATTGAAGTTAATTGCAATTTCTTAGAAATATTTGAACATGTCAATGCCATAGATGTTTCAACCATAGTTATAGAACATCAAAGAGATAACATTGATAATGCAAAACTATTGGAAGCATTGCATATTTCCAATCAGGTGGCTATTACAACATCCAATACAAAGATCCATCTATATGTAGCAAAACAATTGCCACGTATGCCACACATATTTTCTACTGGTATCGAATTCTTTTTATGGAAAAGTGAAGACAGTTGCATAGTAAATATCCACAAACCCTTTTTTACGCATAAACAATCTCTTGGTGCCAGGATGGCATTTATGTTACAACATGGAAAAGATGGTTTTACATCTGTTAGTGTCTGTCAAGTGAATAATGTTAAATGTGATCTTAGCATCGAATGGTTAAAGAAGAAACTTCTCCCTTGTATCTTGAAATGGGCAAGGAATGAGACAGAGATAATACAGATTCCGGTGTCTTCATTGAATCTTGTATCAACTGAAAAATATGCAAAATTATATTACAAATTGAAAGAGAAGTATAGTACAACATTGATAAAGAATTGGCCAGAAAATACCGATCCAATTAAATTTGTTTATGAAGACATCGCAATCGCGTCTTATTTACTGTTGTTGTGGGAAAAAGAGAGATTTGAGAAGGGAACTAACAATTTACAATCATTCCTTGATTTAGGATGTGGCAATGGTTTACTTGTGTATATTTTATTTAACGAAGGTCATCGCGGATTAGGTATCGATTTACGAAGGAGAAAAATTTGGGATTTGTACCCATCTGAGACTCCATTGCAAGTACGTATAAATACAATTAATACGAAATATTCAGTTTGTATGATTATTTTGTACATACGTATAGCTGATGAAATTTACTGAATTAATCTGTACAGGTTTGTACTATCGTTCCATCATCCGCAACAATATATCCAGAAGTAGATTGGATTATTGGAAATCATTCGGATGAGCTAACACCGTGGATTCCAATAATTGCAGCACGTAGTTCAAATAATTGTCGCTTTTTTTTGTTACCATGTTGTTCGTACGAACTTAATGGTACAAAGTATCAGAGACATTGTGCTTCAAAGAGCCAATATTCAGAGTATATTGATTATGTAAGAAATATATGTGTTCAGTGTGGTTTTATGACACATCTTGACAAATTAAGGATTCCTTCTACAAAACGAATATGCCTGATTGGATGGGAAAGAACACACGAAGACATTAAAAGCCGGGAGGATCGCATTCAACAAATACTAAGTGCAAAAACAACTGTAACTCGGCAAAAATGTGGATCAAATGAATCGAATGATAATACAATTGAGGAATGGACATGTGATTTTAAGCCAAGGGATAAAGTGGAAAAAGTACGAAACTGTACACAATTAGATAAAACATTAATTACAGATATTATCAATATCGTATCAAAACAATTACTTCGCGAAGGCCGTATTATATCTATCGAGGGAGCGACCAAGAAATTTTGGAACGCTGGTAGATGTCTTGAACTACGTGAAATCGCTGAATCGATTCCAAGAGAAGTTATGATTCATTTACGAAAAGAATGCGGTGGCCTTCAAACTTTACTGAAAAATCATAGTCATATATTTCGCGTTACTCAAGGAAAAGTGGAATTTAGAATACCTGGAGCAGAAAGATTTCACGAAAAATCGAAGAAAAAAAAGTTAACATTACCACGAACGAAGACTAAGCCTTGTTGGTTTTATGAAAATCATCCGAATAGTTGTCCCGCAACTGAAACAAAATGTAATTATAGGCATTAATATAATTATTTGATGAACACAGAACAGTTGTGTTTCACTATCATTCATATCGTTGTTAAAATTACACGTTAAAAATTTATTTTTGCTTTTATACAAATTAGCGAATGTTTTATACACTGCACCCAACGGATTATTTCTTTACGAGATTACGTACGAATTAGGTATTTAATATGTTAATCGTCATACATAGGAAGAACATCGAATATTATTGTCTCTATTTTCTGATCGATATCCTGCAATTATCGTTTTCAATTAAGGAGGAAACATTTAATTAAAAAAAAAAAAAAAGTAACGATAGTTTGTACCAGATGCGTGTTACTTAAGAAGCTCGACAAAAGATATGTTGTCCAAACTTAAACTTTTAGCTTCGATAGTGTTTTCTTGAAGAGATGCTTTGGGTAAGAAGGATTGACGCACGCGCTTCCATTTCCTAACGTCGATGGCATCCAACTGATGAACACGTTTCACATGTGTTCGAAGATTGCCTTTTTGCGTAAAAGAATATTCACAGTACGGACAAACATATGGCCGATCGCCAGTATGGTGTTTTTGGTGCATCTGAAGAGTTGATTTTTGAGCAAATGATTTCGTACACAAATCACATTTGTATGGTCGTTCACCAGTGTGAATTCGCTTATGCCTTTCAACTTGGTACGGTTTTGTAAATGTTTTCCCACAAATGTCGCACTCCTTTTTAGACAGATTTCCTTTAACTGCTGGCTTTTCTGCTACTACTGATAACGCCTTTTTCGCTGGCACCTTTGAGAGTGATGGCTCTAACTGCGTTGTCACAGTTGATACCGCTAAAAGACAGTTATTCGATGGCGTTTTTAATATTTGTTCTATATGAGTTTCTTCCTTTGTATGCTCGTTACTAATATCAGACGTAACGCTGGATGTCGCTAATGTACATCCAGTATCAGAAACAACAACCGGTCGGTGATACGAGTTATTAGCCGATGATGCTGATGATGCTGATGATGCTGATGATGCAGATGACTGTGACAGTAACGATTCTTCGGTTTGAATGGTAACAAGACCATGTGTCAAAAGAAAATGTAAATTCGTAACTAATTGATTGCTTTCATTTATCGACATTATTGTTTGATTATTATTCGATACAATACCCTCAGTATCGAAATTAATTTGATCAGATAAACAGGTAGTTGCTGTCTCAATATTATATGCTTCTAAATGGGAAGCTAATCCTGTGACTGTTTGTGTTAGTTGTTCCTGTCGTACTGGTTGTTTTGATTCGAAACTATTCATCTCCTCTTTCTTTTCGTCAAATTTTTCAAGACCTGCTGCCACTTCAGCTATAACTGCAACCTTTAAATGCTTTTGTCTTCTCTTTGGATTATCTTTGCATTCCCGGGCATGTTTCAACAAATGCACTTTTCTATGACCGGAAGTTCGAAATCTTGAATCACAAATAGGGCACCTAAATGGTTTTGAACCTTTGGGATAAATAGACGAAATTTATTAAATAATTTTAAAACATGTACGAAAACAATAAATATAGTTTTTTTTTTTTGTAGAGATCCTTAATATTCATTTCACTTACCTGTATGCAAACGCATGTGAACTTTCAAACTGCCTTTAGTTGCAAACAGACTATTGCATACGTGGCAACGAAATGTTTTCTTCCCAGTATGAACTTTAGTATGTGAATCCAATGTACATTTTACAGCAAAACTTTTATTGCAATAATCACACTTGTATGGCCGTTCTCCGGTATGTGTGCGTACATGTCTTATAAGATCACTTGGTTTACGAAAAGTTTTCGGGCAATATTTACATTTATTTGTATATTCCTTCTGTTCCTTTTTGTCTATCAAGATATTCTATATGTGTAATAACATTTAATTAATGATACTTTATCGTTCCTCCCCTCCCCTTTTTCTCACTTTTTTTCTCATACAGTAGCGACGAAAGAAAATAAATAGTTATAATAAATTTACCTCTACACGATCCATTACTTCTCTTTCCGCTACTGTATCTAGAAGAACTTTCTCTGAAACAGCGGAATCCGGATCTATTACGATATTATTCAAAGGAAGATGACCATTTTCAATCGGTTGCACTTCCGATGAAAGCATCGAATTTTCTGAAACGTTATTTATTTCTGATGTGTTCCACATTAGTGTTTCATGAATTTTATTGTGTGATTTCAATTCGATTTTGCTATTAAAGTGCTTCTCACATGAAATGCACTTAAACGATCTACAGCAAAACACAAAGTAAAATGGTAAAAATTACAATTCATCATTATCACATTTCTTTTGATACTCACTGTTTTACAATATGAATCTTTGAATGCCTATTTAATCCACCGTTTGTGTAAAATTTAGAAGAGCACTCTGTGCACTGATACTCTTTTGTTCCACGATGGCTTGTCAAATGTTCCTAAAAAAAAAAAAAAAATTCATATTAAATTTTAATGATATCAATTATCAAATATAATGATGTATATCATTGATTGAATTAAGAAAGATTAACTAGAAGAGATAGAAAAACTCCTATTTATTTTAGGATATTTACTTTCAACCCAACTGTTGTAAATCCTTGTTGACTACACATATGACATTGCAATAGAGATTGTTCCTCAGATATTTTAGCAGTAGTAGCAGTGGTTTGAACGATTTCTGGAACATCGGGTGGCAAACCATGTATATTTGGTTGCCCTTTAAAATCTTGTAACGTTTCCCGTAACTCTTCTCTAGAGAATTTAAGTATATGATTATTACAACTGCTTTTAATTTACCCATTACAAATGTATCGTGTCATAGAAAACATTTTTTTCTGTACATATTTAAAACTGGCAGGTCTGTGATTAGTTAAGGAAGAGAAATAATAAGAACTTACGTAAAGAATATCGGGTTGATTGTGCATTGCTTGTTAATAGTACCCTTGTTGTTCTCTTCTATTGTGAATTCATGTGCTACACTCTCTTTTTTAGGAAAATTTTGTTGAGAAACAAACATTACTGCTTGCACACTAGATCTTTCTGATTGTTCAACATTTAGATTATCTGGTGTTGTAACACAAACAGAAAGTCGATGTTCATCTTTCACACTTCTAGGTAATATACTTGCCATGTTAGTTGAATTTCTTGTATCTAATCCGATATCAATTTCAGCATCAGACTAAAAGGTAAAACCTTTACTTATTAGATTCTTTTTTTAATGCAGGTAGTCCATGATTCGAAATTCAATTTACATATTTATCTTACTTGCAAGGCAACATGGTCCATCTCAAATGAACCAATCTGTGATGAAAATACATGTCCTTCAGATGATTCTACATTACTATTACTGTTACTGCTATTATTGTTTTCATATATAACATTTAACACAGGCTGTGAGTGTTCTTTTATATGATCAAAATCATTGGTATTTGCACTACTTGAGTGTCTTGAATGATTACTTCCCAAGTTAAGGTTCATCCCAATATTAAAAAGTTGTTGATTCAATGTCTCTTCTATCTCCCGTATGCTTTCCTAAAAATTAAACATTTCCGTTTTCAAAAAACAATTGCTATCATCTCTTTTATTTAGTTATTTAGTTATTTTTACTGGCAATTAGTTATTACAATATATACCGGGGTGAGTGCCTGATCGCTAGAGTAAACCGGCATCGTAACTGAGCCAGCTTCATCCGCGTGTAACATCTGTGAATTTTCTGAAAGGATAGATGTCATATATAAGATTGATGTTCAATGAATGGTCCTTTGATATTTAAATCATATACAGTGAAACGTATTGAAACATACGATTGATAAACGTTGTAGCATCACAGTTTGGCGATAAACCTTGTCTTACTTTTTCCTTTTCTTCGGTAATGCTTTGAAATTCTGGAAAAGTTTGCGAAAACTCTGATCCAAGTTGTGACTGAAATGATAATTCAACTGATCCAAGACGAGAAAGTGCAAGATTATCTGAAAAGGTAGAAGAGGACGCTGTGACGATGGTAGGGGTGGTAGTGGTAGCGGCGGTGGTAATGATAGAAATATTGTCAGTAATAGTGGAATTAATAGTAGTGATAGAGACAGAGGAGGTACAAGATGATTCAAGCGTCGCCGCTTGTTTAGAACTTTCCTTCATATTCGGTTTGTCTGAAGCTTGTTCTTGCATTTTGATTTTTTGTTGTTCCAGCTGCTACAGATTTATGAAAGAAAAAAAAAAAAATAACATTTCATCATTAATTATGAATCCAATTCTATTTTTTCCTTTTCTTTTTTTTTTTTTTTTTTTTTTTTTTTTTTTTTGTAACAGATATCGTACCCGTTGTGCCAATTCATGTTTATGTATTTTCATGTGTTTCCGGCAATTGGCGTAAGTTTTAAAAGTCTTGTGACAATAAGGACACATAAACGGCCTTTTATTACTATGAGTAACCAAGTGTCTTTTCATACTGCTTTGTGTAGAGAATTTCGCATTACAAACAGAACAACCGTATGGTCTCGAATCTTCATGGGTATTCAAATGTGATTTTAATACGCTATTTGATGTAAATCTCCTGAAATAATTTAAACCATTTATTACTTCTTCATCAAATTGGATATATACAATAGCAGAGTGTATACGTAGAGAAAAAGATAAAGCAATAAATTTTCTAATATAAATGAATATATTTATCTAAAAAAGAAGAAAAGAAAAGAGAGGTTGTAACTTGTAAATAATGCCGTAGATAAGCATTTTATTTGTAAATATACCTGTCACACTTAATGCATTTATAAGGACGTTCACCCGTGTGACGACGATGATGCTGCTTTAAATGGCTGATCTTTCTGAATGCTGCCTGACAAATCCAACATTTATGTGGTCTAGCTTGATCAACAGCTGTATCGAAAACACGTTTTTCCTTCGAAGATACCTGTGCCACGCAAATTTTGTTTCCCGCGTCGCTAATTATTAACGGTTCTTGCAAGATCACTTGAGGTACTAGTCTTTCTGCTTCTGGAGATATCTTTGATTTACCCTTTATTTGAGACTTCGACTGATTAGCAGTATGAGTATCAGTATCGATTGTGACGTGCATGTTGAGATCCTTATCGTTGTCAATGGATTTATTGAAATAATTTTCGGATTTTGTGTGCAAACTATCATAAAACGCACTTATTTGGAATTCTATTGAAATAGAATCATTGATTCTATTATGCGAAAAAAGATGTAATAATCACTCACCTGGTATGGGCAATTAAACTACCATGACACACGAATGTTTTGTCGCAAGAACCACAAGCATATCTTTTAATATTTGAATGGGTGCGTTCATGTGCTATCATAGTAGATTTCAAAGCAAATGAACGATAACAGTAGGTGCACTAAAGATACAAATATAAATGACATGTAAAGAAATGAATAAGAATCATCGATACGTATATGACACATATATACATAAAAAAATGTTTCAATATACATAGTACCTTGAAAGGTTTTTCTTGCGTATGTACACGCAAATGACGTATCAAGTCTGACGGTTTCTTGAATTCTTTGTGACAAAATGTACACGCGTACCATCTCACGTTTCCTACGCATCGTTGTTTTATCGTCAAATATTTTCTACAATAATGATGAAAAATGAATTGGTATCAACCGATTTCAACTAACCAACTTTTAGATATATAATATAGATTACCTCGTATCACCGTCAGCTGCACGATCCAACAATGTAACAAAATTAATACGGGCTCCGAATTTTTTCGCTTCCAATATACCTTTGACAAACAAGCTTCGTGAACAGCAAAGTACTAACTAAAAATAATTTTGCCATGATCTTGCAATTTTTCGAGCACAACGCGTACCTTCAGAAGAAGTTTTATTTTTACTAGGGAGACCACTGTTTTTCAGCGCTTGCTGCAAAATATCTTTTTTCATCATGCTTTCCGATAATATACACGATTCGAAATTTGATGATTCTGTAGTTTGATGAGCGTCAGATTCCAAAGACGCTAGTTGTGTTATAACACTGTCCACGGTCGCACGTATATCAGACTCCACATTAGTTGGATGAGTACTACCACTAGTAACATTCTCCTGAAAATCTTATGTATAACAATCTAGCCTCTTCAACAAATCTTATATTATAACAATAATATTAATGTATGTGATAGATAATTCATAATTTACCTCATTTACATCAGTGTGCATACGTTTCATATGACCATTTAAACTGCCAAGCTTTTTAAACACACACGAACAATAATTACATCCATATATAGGTTCTCCTTCTGGGACATTGTGAACTCTCATTATATGCGTGTTCAAATTACCTACAAATATATATTCATGTATCTCTAAAGGTGTAAAAACGATTCATAGACAGTATAGCTATTCAGACTGAACATTAATATGGTGCAAACAGTAAAAATTTACATCATACACAGTTGTGTCGAAAATTACCTTTCTGACTAAATTTGGCATTACAAAATTCACAGGCATGAGGTCGAATGCCATTGTGTTGCCACGTATGAATTTGTAATGAACTTTTTTGCGTGAATGCACGACCGCATACTGTACACTTCAAAATTGAGCAAAAGTTGAGTCGTATTATTGATTAAAAAATATAATTATACAAGGTCAAAATTAGTTTACCTTAAAGGGTTTTTCACCAGTATGCACTCTAATATGCCGCATTAACTGACTTGGTTTCTGAAAAGACTTCAAACATATGGTACATTTATATATTGTTTTATGTTTTGTCCCTCTTTTTGTTTGTTTTACTACTTTTGTCTGCAATTAAAGTAGAAATGAAGTTATAAATTATATAAACATCATCACTTACAATATGCTTGACACTGATTGCATCTTACCCTATAATGCTCACGAATATGGAGTCTATATAAGGCTGGTTGACTGAACTGCTTGTTGCATAATTTACATTTTCGTACTTCTTCGATCGTCCATTTTTCTCCATGAAGCTTCAAATGTGCATCCAATTGAGTCTACAACATTTATGATTAATTTATTATTTATATAATTTTAATTTATCAATGGTAATTAGACTAACAATTTTTTATCTTCACAATTTAAGGAAAATATGTATCAGGAGTGATGTTTATGTACTGTCTTATTTTCACTAAATTAACACAAAATCATATTGTGTTATATTATAGTTATATATTAACTATAATTGATATAATTAATAATAATAAAGTCAGTATGACTAATATTAATACTGACTTTTGTAGAAAAAGCGTCTTCACATTCTGTACAGAATAAATTTTCTTCCTTTTCATGCAACAACATATGAGACTTTAAGCTGGCCATTCTCGCAAACTTTTTACCGCATTCTGGACATTTCGGTTCACCTGTATTATGCGTAGCCATATGAAGCGTAAAATTTGTCTGCAAGTAGTATAAAACGATGGACAATGAAATTTACGTTAAGTTATATATCTCGTTACATAATTTCTTAGTATTGAAAGCATTCAATAAAATGTTGAAGAATGAATAAAATTACTACTACCGGTACATTGAACGACGCGGAGCATTTTGGACATCGATGTGGTTTCTCTTCTGCATGATTTTCCATATGTTTTCGATATAATGTCTGTTTACTAAATTCTTGATGACAAATATCACATGTTAAACTGCTTATATCCTAGAATAAACAAGAACCTTGTTGTTTTACCTTTGTACTGTATACACTTTAAGAAAATATACTTATGTAGTGGTTCACTCATTATTTATAATCATATAAAGAGAAATACAGTATAAGTAATTAAAATTCTGAATTACTTGCAAAGAAATTGCTTTGTTTTTTTTAGGCCTTCCAGGGTTATTCTTTTTCACAGTTACATTTATTGTCTTCTGTTTATAGGTCTTTTCATCCTTTTCATTACTTAATGAATCATTCGGAGGAAGCGATTGATATTCCTGTGTAACTGGTTTCTTGCACTTTACTTCCCTGCATGACTGCAACTTTATTCGATCAGTATTATCAGATTCAATTTCAAAACTTTCTGTTGACTGCTGAAGTTCCGAATCATTGGCAATATCTTCAACGCTTATTTGAAAAATAGGCTGAAATGGTGCATAATTGAGAAATAAGAAAATGCTCTGTAAAATGTATAATGAGATGTAGAAAAACAATGTACCGAATACAATGTTAAATTTCCATTTAGATTTCTTACATCTACTAACGATGCAGCTCCTCCACTTTGTCCAACAAGCATAACTGGAGTTGCAACAATTTCTAACATACCATCTTTATGTTCTGCAAAGGTTACAATGAGTTGCTCTAAATATTTGTTACAAATTCATTTCGAATTTCATTGTAATAAATTCTTACCAGTTACTGCTAAAAGTGTTCGACCATCCTCAGTAGCAACAAGATTTATAGGTATTGCCTCAACATGTGAAGACTCTGTAACTACATTGTGTCGCGTCAACATTTTTTCCATCATTCAAAATCACATATGACCCACGAAGAAAATAATTGTTTGCGTACTATTACACAGCAATGAGAATAACAATGACAATTTTTCAAAACACTAGATACATTCACAAAAATCTCTCATTATGTTAAACACTTCGCGAATGTTTTCGCATAATTCAAATATTTGAATTTCTTTTAAACGATGCATAACTTAGTTTTCTGCCAAAAATAAACTTAACCTATACTTTCACAAGTTGAGAGGTTAATTTCAGCCGTAGGTGTCATTAATATTTGTAAGCGACGATAAAAAAAGTTGAGAGAAAGAAAGAGGGAGCTCATCAGAAAGTAGAAAGAGGAAAACGATAGATACGTATTGGAATATAAGAATGATTTTGCAAATATAAAGATTAGGATAATGGAAAAGGGAAAAAGTGAAAGATGTTCGAAGATGTATAAATTGTGATATTTTTAATTGTAGAATCTATTGATATTTCAACTAACATCGAAGTAATACATTTGATAATGTTATCTTTAAAAGAAAAAATAGGAAGGATGGAGAGTGCACCGAACACAAAATAAAGTGTAATATTATTGTACACGTGGTTGAGTTTAGTATTACATTTGAACATATATAAAAGAAATAGGATGAAAAGGAATGAAGAAACAATAAAAAAGAAATAAAAAAGAATAGAAAAAGTTTGTATAACTAAGTCTTTTTACTAAAACTAAGTTAAGATATGTAAAATAGTTTATTTTAATGTGTAAAAGTTGAGTTATGAGAAATATCGGATAGTTCGAAATCATCATCTGAGAGACAATACTCGTACAGTTTCAACGTTGGTTTCTCCATCTTTGATGTCGACATTTCCATCGATGATATTTCGCGAGATACATTAAGCGATGAAGGAGGAATAATTCTATCGATAGTAGAACACGTACAATTAGAAGGTTCATCTAGTTCTTTATCGAACCGACATTTTAAATTATCAGGCGTTGACAAATGTTTTTCAGAAATATTGTTAGTTGTTATTGAGGAAAAAGATAAATGATCGATTGAATTAAACGAATAGCTATGCGATGTGTAAACTTCGTTATGTTTTGTTGAGTCCGTAGAAATCTCTACAGATTCAATATTTGTACAAATTGCAGTTTCATACGTATGTTGTTTCGTTTTATCGATAGGTGTAGAACACGTGGTTATACCGGATATATGTACTATATGTTCATTGTTTTCTTGTGCGTTAATTTTATTTCCATCTGTTATTTTTTCTACTACTTGTACATCCTTTTTGCAATTTTTTTGTTTCCAAAGTTTTAAGAAGCACTGAGCAAGCGAAATTACTTGTTCTTTACGAATTTTATCAGCTTCTAAAAGCTCGTGCAAGCTAATTAGTATGGTATAACATGATTTTTCCCATTTATTCGACCTCGTTGTAATTTGATCAACAATCTGTCAGGAGTAATCACGAGTTTAATAATAACGAGCATAATAATAAAAGTAATAATAATACAACACGAATTTGTACACGATAAGTATCGTAGAATATACCATTCGCGCAGAAGCATATTTTCGTGCTTTCTCTATAACTGATATTGGTAAGCCGGATAATTCAGCTAAAACAATACCATAGTCATCAGTAGGTGCCACACCATATTTTAATCGATGAGTATAGGTTAATCTGTCATGGCAATTATTGATTTCTAATTCTCGATTGTTTATCGTTTCGAAATATTGACTGAAAGATAATAACTTAAGATGTTAATTCATGGAAAAGTGGAAGAAGGTACATATTCTTCGGTCACGAGAAAGAGAGAAATATTTATCGATAAATTCATATGGAGAAGAATTGCATACTTTGTCACATTGTGGTACAAATCTGCTAGTTTTGTCAGATAAGAATAATGAGTGGCAGCAAAAATAAAAGCAGTTGTATTTAGAAGTTTTTCACATATAGCCCATGCAATTGAAGCACCTTCTTCGATAGCAGTACCCTTGCATAATTCGTCTAAAACGATCAACGAAGTTGGTGTGACAGATCTTAAAATATATTGTGCTTCTTTCATCTAGAAGATAAGAAATTTTATTGTTTCGTGCAATTATAAAGAATATAATCAAATAGAATAGCTCACTTCAAGGGCGAATGTGGACGCATTGCATTCGATATCATCGCGAACGGCTATTTTACAGAATATGAGATCTGCTATACGAAACATTGCTTTTTTAGCCGGTACGAAACAGCCGAGTTGTGCCATTATATGTAATAAAACAATTTGTTTAAGATATGTTGATTTGCCGCTCATATTAGGTCCTGAGATTACACATAAATTCTGAGGTATCGATGCATTCTATAATAAAAAATGAAATTTAATGAATAGCAAATTATAATATAGATAATATAATATATACAAAAATTTGTAATATTCGGTAAAAGAAGAAAACAAATTACAATGTTATTAGGTACAGGGCCATCGAGGCCAAGAACATCCATTATTGGATGTCTCGAATCACATAATTCTAGTTTCGTTCCGAACGATGGTCTCACATATGTTTGAAGAGAACTGATTTGAGCAAGAGATATTATCAGATCCAATTCTGCAATATCCGTACTTAATTGAAATAAACAGCCAATATATTCTCGGATACGTTGCAACAAGTCACAGAGAAGTCTATTTGTACAGAAATACAGATTTTTATTTGAAAACGAAAACCCATTGCGTTCATCCATAAAAAATCTGTGTTAGTATATACATACACGTTGCTCATTAGATGTAATTCTTCGCACGCAATTTTACACTGTTGACTCAATATTGCGATTGCATTGGTAGTCATAGTATACATTCGTTTATTCCTTCGTACCTACAGCCCATCTTATGTTATCAAAGAAAGGTATTTAATAATGTTTGGAAGGGTATAATTACCTCTATGAACTCAGATGGTGGATCAAAGATATTAGTGTTTGAATTTCGAGGTAATATTGCTTGAATATGATAGCCCAGAGAAGCGTTGCAGCTCAAAGACAAAGTTAATTTATATTTAGATGCCAAGTTTTCCACCATAGCTATCGAAGAAAAATAAACGAGGGTAAATTATAATATGATAGATATTATAATTTATATAAATATATGTAAATATATTTAATTATATATTTGGTGAGTATATCGTGTTCAAGAAAAAGGAATTAACGGAAGGAACACTCGATCGTAGCTTTGTCGATTTACAGACTTTTCATGTCGTCGATTAACTCGCAATAGGTTTGTCGGGCAATATCTAATAGATCATTAATTCCTGCTTTGATAGCGAAGCAACGTTGCATATTTGAAGATGAATATCCTGTTACGAATTTTGCATCTGGATGTATTGTTTCGAGAATCCTTTCTCGCATTAGTCTAAATTCGTCACTTTCCAGTTTCTGAGAGGTATTAAAATGCAAAAGAACGATGCTTGTACATATATGTAAAACAAAGTAGAAAATTTGTACAAACCTTTCGCATGCTACAGAAAAGTTGGCTTTCACCCGTTAGTAATATCTTTTCAAGTTCGGGAACAACATCTAATAAATTTTTCAATAATAAAACATAATTTAAATTCTGTTCTGCGTTTTGGACGTTGTTTTCATGTAAAATAGGCGTTGTCGATAAAATTAAAAGTCTATCAGCACCATAAAGTCGGCGTACTATAGGCTACAAAAATGTTTTAAAATTAAGAAAGATGAAGAAAAAGAAGAAAAGAAAAAATATAAAAGAAAAATATGGCAACGCCACTATATGAACCTGAATAAGTGCACGTAGCGAATGGTTGGATACAAGTTCGGCAACAGCAGCTTGGCGCTCAAAAATTGTGCGTTCTTCACAAGGAGGTTGAAGTATATTTGCACGTAAAAGTTTTCTACCCATAGGCGTCGAACATCGGTCCAAGCTACACAATAAACTGATATTTCGTTGACCACATTGCGACTGAACTAATTCCAAGCTCCGTGCGCTTTCCAAATCTATAAATTTCGTGCTATTTTATATTGCATTCCTTACACTCTCTATAACATTTATAATTATTACCTATCATGGTAGCATTCGGGGATCCTTGAAATTCGATTTTCATTGATTTTGGAGTGTAAACAATGCGTTGAGCGTACTCAATGTATTTCAATAGCGCTGCAACTGCAGCTAATGCATAATATCTGTAATCCATTGAAATTAAATTTTAAAGTACACGCATCACGTTTACATTGTACTACAATACTATTACAGGCGATACGGAAGAATGATATATTGTCGTATTGTTATCGGTTTAAAATAATGTTTACTTTTGTTTAACAAATAATTCCACCGAAGAGTATTCAGGGTTGCAAAGAGATTTTATTCGCTCCAATCCTATTGTATCGTTGAAGTGTACGCGAGATATTGCTGTGACTTCTACTTCAGGGAACTTGTCTATTATCGAACGATGAAGGACATTTCTACCTGTAATACGTTCACACATTGTGTCTGGCATTAGAACCTGCAATATCAAAATAGAACCAAAATCAGATTCATTCATTGAATAACCGATTACATTTTATTCGGAGAACGTTCAATAAATTTTGATCGTTGTTTAAATCTGATACGATGCGGACAGATATATTCATAATAACTTACTTCTATCGGGTCAAATAAATATAATTTGCTCAAAGTGTTAATATAGGTTTGAGAATCGCTGATTTGACAAAGAATAATGTGCGGACATTGGATGTTCAGCGCGGCTATCCCCACTTCGGATCTCGCATCACCTCGACCGGTCGTTATCGCTATTTAATTGTATCAAATTAATAAGCCGAAGATTCTGTTAAAACGAGATGATAAACTCACCGAGAACGGTGCCACTAGCAACAGATTCAAGCAAGCTCGAACCACCACCCGTAGTGGTTCTTGTCCCAGATCTAAGAATTATCGAATATCACCGTGCATTATTATCATTGATAAATGCTATTTTGATCGTTTGATCAAAGAAACGAATTATTTCATTCGATAGTTACTTAGAAACGTAATTGCGCGAAGTACTGGTTAAGAAAGACGATGATATCGGAATGGCCTGATTACGTCTTGTACTTCGATATTTTGGGCTTTTCGAGGAACTCGAGTTTGCTGATTTCCAATTTGTTCTTCGCTGTTTCCCCATATCAAATTCCAAGTCTGTATAAAATATATTAATAGAGATACAAGATAAAGAAGTCAGAAAATGTGTATAGACCAGAGATTTATTTCTAGTGATCAATAAAAGAACGTTATAATAAATAATTGGTTAAATTTGCCATGATCATTACGTACGACGTTTCATTAATGGCAAATTGAATTCTTCCCGTGGTCGGGCTGTATTTCGTTTATTCGGTGGTTTTAAAATCGTTTCGGTTCTTATTACGTTCATATTTTGATTCAATTAAAAAATGATACGCAAAGTGGAAAGCAATAACGAAGATTGAATACACGTATAAATATAACGAGAGTCTCCATCGCGCCATCTACATTCTCTCGAAGATAAAAATTTAGTCGTTTCATGCGCGGGAACAATGAAACTGGAAGAGGGAATCATGGAACGAAGGAAAGATCTGTAGAATGACATCCAATTAATGTGTTCGATTGTTTCTTAAATTAGCAATATATAAGATTTATTTACAAATTTGATACCATGTGTCCGTAGGTAATACATACTTCCTTCAATTTCAGGTATCTCGCATATTCAATAAATAATAGTATCACGATTGTTACGAATTTAAAATAAATATCGCTTTATCGTCGGTCTGTAGTTTCATCGGTTCACGTACATATAGATATTTACAAGGCTTAGATTGTCAGGCTCATAAGCTGCCTTAAATGATTTCACAACTATATCGAATAATCGTATTCAACGAAGAAACTACGTTTTTTCGAGTAAAAGAAGTACCATTGTTCGTTCATGTTAAATCTTCGAACAAATCCAGTCTCCATATACGCGTATATAGTCGAGTAAGCGAATAATATTCGCCCTGGGAAGAAAAGCATGATTCACGAATCATTGCCACTCTATAAATATGCCTAAAATGCATAGACAGATGATACATGTCGATCAAATTTGTCGACCTCACACAGCCGATGCGTTTAGTTAAGTGCAAAACTATGTGAAAATTGGTTGTATTCAATTACTAAGAGATATAAAACTTATGGGTTAAACGTTTGTTCTGACGCTTATAGCGAGTTAAGAGTGCACGCATGCAACAATACATAGATACAGGTTACATACGTTACATACGTGCATATTCGCTCAGAGCGTTCGATAATTTTGTCTAATCTATATACGTTATATGTACAAAAAATTGCACACGATCACGGTTTACAAGTACGATACGTAAATAAGTAATTGACACGCTGCGATATAAATGCTTCGTGAGAAAGAAACGCGTTGGTATTTGATGACTGAAATATCAATATTTATGGATCTTCTCTTTTATTAACTCTTACTTTTTTTCTCTTTAGATGCAACGTTCTATCGTGTGTTGCGCATTATACATGACTCTCGAGAGGTACTTTAAACACTTTGGAAGCTAAGCTGGTATCCGGTAAAGATTGTGGACGAGCATTGGTCACGTTAAAGACAACGTTACTTGGGCCGCGAAAGCTAACTTCGATAAGAAAACTAGCATCGGTGAGACCAATACGACCGGTACTTAAATCCGGTGAACTTGTTCTAAGTTGACTTTTCTTCGGCCTATACTCGTTTCTAACCACTCTTTCAGCCTCGACTTGCAGTTTATTATCCAACCAATGCACTTTGTCAAAGTCCTTAGTACCCCCTACAGTATGCCTGCGCTTAATCGATCGTTCGGGCATACCATTCTTTCGTTTTAGTTTCGTCGCACTATCTTTCCTCACAGATTGCCGTCTCTTGCTGATATTACATTCAGTTTTCTCAGTTTTTGTCAGTGATTCCGATCGTTTCAACTTACTGTTGGGGGAATCGGATCTTTCTGAATGTTTATTCAAACTTTCGGATCGTTTCAATTTACCATTGGTTGGTGACGAAAGTCTTTCAGCGGAATGCTTGTTTAAACTTTCAGACCTCTTCAACTTGGACGAAGTGTTTTCAGATCTTTTATTTAAAGATTCCGACCTTTTCAGTCGCGATCTGACTTCAAAATTCGTCAGGCTTTCAAATTTTTCCAGTTTGTTGGAATAATTCGAATCGACATCGTGTCGAAAATCTTTCGCGTCATCGGCTACCTTTCCACCTTGTGCTGACCCAGACGTTTCTTTTTCGATCCTACAACATTCTTGTGCTTCATTCGCACCGGAAATTAATACGTCGACTGTTTCCTTGCTCGATCGCAATTGTTCTTGTTTCGATTCAATCCTTTTACGTACAATAGCACTTCTATCATTGTCCGGTATATCAGCATCCAGTCGATCGACACTACTATTCTCCGTTACCGATGAATCCGTATCTTTCTCTGGGGCATCCTGCATAATTAAAGCAAGCAATGGATGAGTGTATGTGCGTGCACAGAGCGGACGAAGAACGAGTATACTACGATTGATTATTAATTCGCTTTAATCTAATATACTTGCATTTTTTTGACGAACGTATTGATGCTTTTCGATAGACGTTTTATGAAGACTCGGATCCCGATAGCTTTCAACCGAATGAGAATTCACCGATTGAGGTGCAGCCGTTTTGTGTTCGTCTTTTTCTTCTCGCAATCCTCTTCGTTGATTACGTAATTTTTGTGACTCTTTTGTTATCATAGTATCCTCGTCACTGAAGGACAGATTTTCCGTAGTGGATCCACGAATCGTTTGATTCGATGAATTTACAAGAGACCTCCATTTACGATCGAATGTGGTTGTCAAGCTGGTCAAAAGGTCGCTACCTGCAATTCAATCGATTTACTTTAATAGAAATGCGTCGATTATTTGTGATGGAGCCTGTATAAATCGGAAGCGAACGGTTCAACGAGAAACACATACAAAGCATCGAACAGTGGTCGATTATTCTTGACCACAATATAAAATTATGGTCGTTCGCATAACAGCAAACAACGAGCGTGATGTCGAGCGTGATAACGAGGCTTGAAACGTTCGTTAGGAAGATTTCGTTAGGTGGATGAAACAGCGATTACAAGTTTAACAATTCGTCGGATAAATTGCATTTTGTTCACTCTCCTTACTACACGCTAGAATAACTGGTAATAGTCGATCGGTATTTAAGAAACGCCGCGTATCCGTTTAACCCTCATCCACTTCATCTTGGTTCTTCTTCCGTTTCCGATTTTCAGATGTGCGAAGAACTCGAATACAATGAAATTGCGGTATCTTTTATAAGTATAACGTTATTATAAGCAAAGAGGAATGGCAAAAAAAAATAAAAAAAAAAAAAAAGAAAAAAATAAGGAATGATGAAAGAAGAAAAAAGAAAAGATATGAGAAAACGGGGGGAAAACTAAAAGAACGAAGAAAGTTGTTTTAACCCTCATTACTTCCTCCTATTTGATGTGCATCGGGACCAGAGAAGGGGACAAATTAGAGAAAGGTGTTATACGAGAAGAAAGCAAACAGTACAATATAATAATGAATGCAATTCGTTTCTTATTCGAACAGAGCGATACGTATTCTAGAAGTTAAAAATAGTTTAAAATATTAAAACACACGAGAAATCGAAGAGAACGAAAGGAAAAAAAGGCGAAAACCAATATGAAAGCAATAATATCTGTAGCACTCGGTACATTTTTGATCGACAAGAAGTAATTTCTTCCAAAAGAAACGAAAGATAACAGGCAGACATACAAGCAGCAACGGTGTTAATGAATGAGCGAACGAATGGTGAAAATGTTGAATGAAAAACAGAGAATAAAGCAAGAGAAACAGGTAAGACTTTGAATAAAACGTGGAAAATTTGTTAACGTGCGCTTAGCGGAAATAAAGAGTGTAAAGCCATTCGTGTGAGTTAACCATAGTCGAGCAGTTTGCGACTTGGTACTCTTGCTGGCAGACGATGTAATTTACCTCGAAGGAATCTGTTTAAAGTCTTGGAAGATAATCCGGCCCCTGAGCCCGAAGACACCCCTCGCGGTGGTGATTGCTCGACAGGCTCGATAGGCTCCGAGAATTCGGAGGGCTCCGAGGCCGGTATTCCCGAAGAGGATGCGATGGGTGTCGATGATCGTTGCGCGACATTGACGTCGCCTGCGTCTGACACTGACACTGACCCTGGTACTTGCATTCGCCCTGGCATCGACATTGGCATTGGCATTGGTATTGGCATTGGCATTGGCATTGGCATTGACATTGGCATTGGCATTGGCATTGGCATTGGCATTGACATCGGCATTGATATTGGCATTGACATTGGTATTGACATCGGCATCGACATCGGCATTGGCGACGGGCCCGGTGTCTTCGAGGCGGGACCAGGGGAGGTGGCGGTACCATGTAGGTGTGACGATATGTACCACCAAAAACCGGGATTTGCCGTTTGCCTAAGAGTGTTCAACGCATTCGCATCGTCATAATCGACACCCTATCGAGAACATGTACTAACAGCTTCTGGCAGTGACAAACGAGCAAACCATCGAACGTATACAAGCGAGTCTCCTGCCCCTCTTCCATTGCTACACCCACTCGGCTTCTTTCCTTCATCATTCCTTACTAATCCATCTATCAACTATTTTCCTCCATCTACTTTCTCTATCTTTACTTCATTCTATACCTCCTTCTGCTTTCTCGTCTCGTTTCATTTTTTCCCATCGGCTCAACTTTATCGCATATATATCGGTTATACTAGACATTTGTACTATCAGTTTTCATGCAGATTTAGAACTATTACCTTGTGATTTACGAATCTTCCTGATTCAAGATGAAAGGAAAAAGAAAAAGAAAGAATAGAGAGAGGGAGAGGGGAGGGGGAGAGAAAAAAGGAAGGGAATGGTAAAATATATGACACTGGAAAGATTAACATCAACTGGTTACAGACACTGATATGTAATACACCGAGATTTTAGGTGAGACTCGTTTGAAGAACGAGCAGGAGGCAGTTCCAACGCCAAGACCAAAAGCGAGCGATTAAGCGCGCAAGAGGCGAAACTACCATACGAAGAAGCTTTGTTTTTCCATTCTTATATCATTGTATTTAAGGTTCATGCAAATGCGGAGGGAACATTTCTAACGAAAATAACCAAATGCAAGTTTTAAAATGATCGAATCTGACTCGAAGTAAATATGATTACCAGTCACGATGTGCACACGTTGAAACTTCTCTCCAAAGTGTACAATTAATTAATTGATCAAGTTCGACCAACTTTGATCTTGGTATTCAACAGAAAGTGTGTACGCATGCACGAAACAATATATATAGGATGAAGGAAACTGCTTTGAATCCGAATAATTAAAACTATCATGAACGAATCGATGGAGGATAAACAAATTCATAACGATATGCTTAATCTACATAAAGTGCTATGTGCTGTCGTTTCATGTTGCAACGTTTTATCAATTTTCCTGAAAACACTGCAATAACAGAAGGAAAGCGAGTAACAGAAGAAGAAACAGACGAAGATGAAAAAAAAAAGAAAGATGAGAAACGATTTTAGAGTATCAATGAGATAAAAATTAAATAAAATAACCGTATGCATCTATCGTGCAATATTGGTCAGTCGATCATAAATACCTCTTAAGGAATAGCAAAGAACAAATTAAAAGTACCTAGAAAGCTTTTTATTAATGGTCAGAATCTTCTGAGTCCATTGTAGAAAACAAGATCCAGCTAGACTCACCGAGAGCGTCAGAAGCAACGTTACATAGAGAAAAATATAAAGAGAATAAATACATACATAGGACAGGGGAATATGTCTCATGATAATTTTCTATCGAAATAGTGAACACTGAAATCGCGCACATGTTGCATATTTCGAACTTTCTCGGTTCGTACGTTTTCCGATAATTAAAAAAATTCACTCAACAACAAAATATACATCCAGTATTAGAAGACAAATGTCAGTTTAAGTTTTGGAAAATAAAGATATTGACGCTTAAAATATTAAAGAGCATCGATATGTATGTATTAATACTAACCATCGTCTGAGACATCGCTCGAAAGGGGTTTCCGTTGTTGATTGGTCGGTGAAACTGACGACTGAGAAATGTCGTGTGTTTCGTGTAGAGAGTCCAAGCTGCCGTAACGAATAGGTGGTAACGTTGATTGTTCCAATGACTGCTAGTAAATTTCAAGAAATTATACATTGCATATTATATTGTATTATATATGGATGATCTTTCTTCCTATCATAAACGCGATGAGATTTGAATCGATGCAATACACTTACCTCTGTATCGGTTTTCAATTTCTTTATAATGGTGTTTGGAATGTTCTCTGGGGGTAAAATCGCAGTAGGCTCGTCCGTGTGTTGCGTTACTCGTCTAGTGGATATGGGTTGTTGTTGCACAGCTATCGAAAGAGGTGGCATCCGAGCAGTCGATCGAGAACCGATATCAAGGAAGGATTTATCGGTAATTCTGTCACCAAAATTGGACAATCGTGTTGCGGATGAAAGATAAGTAGGCGTTGTCACCGTGGTATCAACTATACTGTCGAGTAGATCATCGTTCTCCATTTCACGTTTAGCCACTTGCCATTCCATCTCGATCCTTCGTCGTTCTTCTTCTCTCTTTTCAGCTTCTCGTCTTTGTCTATTCTGATCTCTTTGTAGCATTGCTTTTGTTTCCTGTTCGAACCTTCGTATACGTTCTTGGGTAGTTGCATTCAATCCTGCGTACGTTCTTATCGCGATCTCGTCATTGCTTTGTTTGGTATCGTTCGAAGCGCTCGAAAGCGTCGAACTTGCGTCGAAGCAGCTCAAGCCAGTCTCGCTAGAGAGTCGTGACGACTCGGAAGCCGACGAGACGGCCGAGCGATGAGCTGGTTGAATCGATGGAACTGACTCTACCGCAACATTTAAATATTTATTCGATTTATCGGGGGAAACATCATCATAGCTATTCAATACATCATGGGTATCTATGGCACAGTCAGTTATGCTACCGTTACCAGCAATAGCGTTATTAATTGCAGTCTCATCGAGCGTCGGAGATCGATTGGATCGATCGATGGAACGATTCGATTGACTCTGACTTTCGTGCATTAAAACGATCTCACTGACTGAACATTGCCTTTCATTCAATGCCATACTCCGTCGATTCTGAAGGTTTTCCACTTCTTGTTTCATCCTCGGCTGAATATGAAACAAATGCAATTATAATGATTAATGTGCATTGGAAATCGGTTAAACAAAGTATAAGTGTACCATCAAGCATTTGATATTTCTCACATTAAACCAAACCTTATCGACTTCGTGAGTTTCGTTGTCAGTTTCATCTTGACATTTCCTTCTTCTTTGTATCTTTCGGTTAGCCGCAGATATAATGGATGATACAATGTCCTTGGCAGATGCCATTTCACGTACTCCTATTTTGAAATTGATTTCGGTTAGGTGAAAATTAAAATATGAATAGAGCATAAATTGCAAAGTAGAAGAATAAATACATATTAATAAAATAGTAATAAGGAAAAGTTAAAATTATGAATGATTACCTTCGACTTTTTGAATATTGTTCAACAAAAGATTATGATTATTACTGGAAGTTGTGGTTTCGATCTCGCTAGCATCGGCTGGAAGGCTAAGATTAACGCTCAGTCTGCTTAAATCGTCCAAATCATCGTCCGAAAAGAACCAGTCGACCTATCGCGGTGTAACCAATAATCCAATCAAAAAATGCTTTTCTTTTGCGTTTTCGTCATCCCTTATACAAGACCAAAAACATCATAGGTCGAGTACATACGTTGTTTAATAAGCTCTCAACGATCCGACACTGGTGTGACATGTCGGTAACCATAGTAACCATATTATCTCTGGAACCACTTGCTCGCACCAACGTAGGACCAAATACAATGGCTAAGTTCTTTGCTTCCATCTTATTGACCTCGCTATGTTCGACAATTCTTTTTAGATGAAACATCAGATACTTGAGAGTCTCGAAATGATGTTCTGGAAGATCTCTCAGCAACTTCCTTATCGTTGTCATCCTTCTCTGAGGATCTTCAACTTTATCAGCATCAATGAACATCGGATATAATTCTGCGGTGAGCAATGAATCCGGAAGCTGTCGAAAGAAGGACTTAAGGAGGGAAGATATTACATTTACATCGCTCCACCTAGGATCCTAAAAGGTGCGAGAAAAAATAAATCCAATGATCGAATAAGTGTATTCCGCGACACAAAAACAGACGGATTATCGTAACAAGAATATGTAGAAAGAAAGATTTTACCTGAAGATTAATATTTTCGAATCCTTTGTTCACGCTGTCTGTTAGATGTGAAATAGCGGCGGTATTACCGGGTACCCTATAGATACCAACGACCTCGAGACCCCTTGCTTCCACAATGTTTGTGCACATTTCAACAATCAATGGTACATACTCCGAGAAAGACGACTGTCCAAAAAATGAAAATGGATAATCCATTACCATATGAAAAAGTATGTTACCAATAAAAGGGAGTTTATATGTAACATAAATGCGTAGAATTACCGGTGGGCAGAGTTCAAGTGGTACTTTGAAAGTAGCACCCTCCGGTGGTAGTTGCGTGGTTGGTGACGAAGGAGATCCGGTTTGACCGTGCATTCTTCGCAATTGTTTCGCAACTCTACCTTTCCATGTCTTAGTTTTTGGAGAAACTAAACTATCGATCATTTGACTCGGTTTCCGAGTTTTATTTATCGGTGATTGACCGGTCGGAGATCTGTTTCTAAAGGACGTTAACTTTTTGATACCTTTGTGTCCTGGAAGAGGACTTAATCGTTGACCTCCACTACCACCACCACTACCACCACCACCACCACCACCACCACTCCCACCACTAGCACTACCACTCGACATTATCATTGCACTAGTATTCGTGGTTGTTTGACACGATGAAGAACTGCTGGTAGGACCTGGAGTTTGTGGAACAGCTTGTTGCTTCAAAGTGCTATTGTGAGTAATTTCCTAAAATATAAAACGAGATTAACATATATACAGACTTCTTGTACGAGATATTTAATATGTGCATAACTGCTAATTATAACATTTTAAACTCACGGACGGTTTTTCAACGGCAGCATGTTCATGTAACGCTCGTAACCAAAGTGCCATGGATGCTGCATCTTCGGTCTGCAGCAAAACCTCTGCATTCGGATTCGCCAATCGTAATACGTGTTTACGTTTTGTATAATCCTCCGCAATATCGACAAGGGAACATCTCACGTCTACGCTTTGAGCTACATTTTCACCGTCGCAGGCCAACGAAGGACTCTAAAGACGATGGAAAATCATTCGCACGTATATAGATTTATTTAATTTATAGTTTTAAAATCAACCAACTTAAAAATTGATATTTCTTTTTAAATACCTGATTTTGACGATCCTTATAAAAGAAGAGAATCGGTCCACGAAGAACGCCCCATAGCTGTTTCCATGAACGA